TTCCATGTAAAAGATCAATTTGTAATTAAAATTTTAAAATTTTCATATTAAAAAAAAAAAAAAGACAAATTCTTAATTAAAATACAATTATATTAATTAATTTTTTTTAAGATAGGCCCTGTTTGTGGGGGGATTTAGATTTTTCTACAGTAAATTAATTCTCATTTTCAACCACACATTTTTTAATAAAATAATATTTTCCACCACATCAATAATTTTTTCTTCCTTTTCAACCACACATTTCCCATCATATCATTATTCAAAATCAATTCTTCCCCCAAAAATCTCTCCCAAACAAGCTCATAATATTTTTATTTTTTAAAAAAAATTTATTTTTTATATGGGAGAGGGAGAAGTGGAGGGAATCGAACATTCATCTCCTATGTGAAAAAATTTCATTGATGAGCTAGATCAAAGTGAATTCTATTTTAAATAAAAGCTTTTAGAAGTCATGTAAATTTTACAAAAGTTTTAAAAGGGACTTCAACTAATTCTATACAAATCTACGACCAAAAGTCCATCATTTAAAAAAGTCTATAAAAATATTCAAATGTCTTAATTGAATACACATCACTTAATGTTTTAATAATATTTTTCATTAGCTGATAACGTGTGATAAAATGTTAGGAACATGATCGACACAATAAAAAAGATTGAGAATCCCTCGTGATTTTTTTTTTCTTAAATGATAGTATCATTTCACCATTTCATTTTCCCTTTTTACAAGGTTAATCATACATACATATGACTTCAAAATAAAAAATGTGTGAATATCTATTTGTGTGGATATATTTTATTTAGGGTAATTGGCGCAAAACGTCCCTACCTTTGAAGGTTTTTGTGGAAAACATCGTTACCTTTCGTTTTTTGGCGCAAAACGTCCCTACCTTTTACATTCTTTACGTTGAACGTCCTTTTCACCAACTTTTAACATAAAATGACCAATATACCCTCCTATATAAATAAAAAAAGAAAGAAAGAAAAATAAAGAATAAAAATTGCAATCTGCTCCTAAACTTTTTTTAAAAAGCAAATCAGTCCAAAACTTATGAAAATATTAAAAATAACAAAAACACACTCTTTCTTCTCCTCCACCACTTTCACCGTTTGATGACCACATCTACTCTTCTCCACCGCCATGACCTCCGAACATTTGTACCAACACAATCTCCTCAACACCCTCTAC